CGCGCGGCTTTCGGTCCTGCTGCCCAGCTGCGTCCTGGCCGGCGCCTCTCGCCCAGATGCCGACGCCTCCCTAGTCCTGTGCCTGCCGGGTTCCCGGCCCAGAAAAGTGACCCGGGTAGGGGACAGCGCTCGCAGCCCCAAGCTCGGCCTGCTGGCCCCTGCTCTTCGCCTCCTTGGACCCGAGGCCTCGGCCGTCCTTTTACTCCAGCGACAGCAGCCGGGCTCGCGTTTAGAGTGAGCCCCTTGGAAGCGGGGAGGCTGCTTTTCTCTCTCCGATCGGTGCCCTCCTTGCTACTATGGAATATTGTTGTTTTAGAAAGAGTTTTCTGTGGATAAAGCCTACAGAGCCGCCCGTCCCTTGCCAAGTAGTTTGCAAATTTTAATCAGGAGTTGGTGATCAGTCTCAGGGAACAAAGGAATCAACTGTATTTTAGAAGCAGAAGAGCTGAGAGACTGTGACACATGTTGATCTCTGAGGCATTCCAGGAGTTTCTACCTTCTGTCACGTTAGTAATGTGATTGGATTCCGAAGGTAGTAAAAGAAGAGCAGAATGAGTACTTTTAAGTTAAAAAAATTTTAATGTGACTTTTTATTTTCAAAATAATCAAAGTGTTCCCAGGTGCAAGAACTTTTTAATGGTGGAACTGAGCTGGAGTTTGTCTCCTGTAATGTAAATGAATGCGAGATTGTGAGGGAAATAGGTTTTTAATTCGATTTTTAGAGATTAAGAGATTGTAAGCGTGCAAGGTAAAAAAGATTGTCACACACATTTACACTTGCTATGTTTCTTGGGGCAATTCGTGAAGCAAGGGTCTTTAGTAATTCATTCTTTAAAGTTATGAATTTCATCAAACCTGCTTATTAGTGAATCATAGGTTTGGCAAGTGGGTGGCATTGTCCAGATATGATTATTCAATGTTTAATCATCAGTTTGCTACCTTTGTTGAAGAGACAATGAAGTAAGTAGACTTTTTAGACAAAAGGTGCTTCATCTGCCTGGCCCCTAAGTGTGGGTTGCTGCCTGGAGTATGTTGAAATGTTTTCAACTTCCAAGTAAGTTAAGTTGCTCAGGTTTTGCCCAGTGGTTTGGTAATGTCAGTAGGGTTTAACTAGTTCTGGGGCAGTGGCTGCCTCACCAGTAGTAACTTTCGCTGCCTGGATTTAGTTCCTGGAGACAAAGAAAGGGAATCAATCAATGGAGCAGCAATTGCCCTGTACGTTCTCGTATTGGTTTCACTAGGTTGTTTCATTCTTTGGTAGAGAAAGTCTTCTTTCCAAACTCACCCTTAAAAATATTCTTGGAATGCGAATAAAGTGTACACATATTTAGAAAAAAAATTTTTTAAAGAAGATTGTGTTGCTTTTACACAAATGAATTTCTTACGGTGCCTTTGGAGTAGTTGCAAATCTGATTTATTACCCATGAGAAGACTTGACCAGAACCAGTTTTTATGTGTATCATCAAACTTTGCAGAACTTATATTTTCCTATTTTAAACATCCTAAAATATAATTAGCTCCAAATAGAGAAATGTGTGTTGGAGAGGCTAAGGGCTCTTCTCGCTCTTTCAGTTTTAACAGCAAAACATCACGATAAAAAAATAACCTATACCACCACCTAGAGTCTATTTGTTAGTGTATTGCTCCTGAAGTTTGCATAAATTGACATGTCTCTTGTGGTTTTTGATGTAGTCAAAAAATGATTAAGAAGTGCAAGTTTTGGAAAGGCCATCATCCAAGAGAATAATTTTTAAGTTGTAACTTGCAAGTGCCAATTTAAATTATCAGTGCCACCTTTAGAAAAGAAAATTATGACGTACCAAGTTTAGTGGGCTATTCTCCAGAAGTTATTAATTCAAAAGAATTTAAAACAGTGATTTACAGCTTGTGTTCTACTGTAGCTCCCACTGCTTTAAGATCTTCTGTGTTGTTATTAAGGATTCAAGAAATCTTATAAATGGAATGCCATTAGGACTTTTTGAAGTCCAGGTGAAACAAAAGCCATCATAAAAATATACAGAAGTATTCCTACTATAGAAATTCTGGAGACTGAAAAGGCTGCAGTGGAGTTGTAGTTCAGAGATGTTAGAGTGAAATTGATGTGAAATAAGGTGGAATCTGTTTTGATGGCAGTTTATATGTAGTAAAGCAGTCTGGTAAATGGTAGACCTTAGGGAGGCAGCTTTGTTGCCATTTGGCTCATCACATCATCCAAGGAAGCAATATTCCTCCTTTAAATGGTGTAGCCTGAGAGAAAGATGGCCTCTGAGATCTTTAATTAAATACCAGTTGAACAGAGAGAATTAGAGCACTGTATTAATTCTGTCAAACATCACTATTTTAGAACATTGAGGACAACTAAAAATGAATTAACTCATAGCTGAAAGCAGAGTTTTATGGAAGGTGACAGATGAGGGAAAATATGTCATTCTCATGGAACAAATAGGAAGATGAGATATGCTCTAGAAAGATGAAAGAGAAGTTTAATGTTAATTGCAAAGATTCCATTGCAGACCAACACTAGAACACCATTACATAGAGGTAATTTTGAATCAGATTGATTTAGAATAGATGAAGTTAAATAAATTACATTTTTAATTTTAAAAATCTAAAGATTGCAAGCTACTTGTTTTAACTGTTCTAGAAAGGCAATAATAGTTTGGTGTATCGAGTTAAAAAATAAGTTTAAAACATCATACTTTAAGTTGATAGGATCAGTTCAATTTGGCTTTTCAAAGTTTAGAATGACAGTTTTTGAACTATAGGTTAATAGGGAAGAGAAGGAAGTTTCTCTCTCTCCTCCCTTCCCTCCCTTCCCTCCCTTCCCCCACCTCTTCATTCTTCCCCTTCTCCCTCCCTGTCCCCCCTTCTCCAAAATGAACAGTTTCCATTGATGGCTTGTTTTCTTCTTTTCCATGAAATTTGCTCTAGTTTGTAGCTTCCGTTTTTGTCTGTGGTGGAGTGAACTTTCTTGCCTCTTATACTTTCACCATCTGAGCATTACGTGATTGATTCAGTCAAGAATGAGTTTGTGTTTTTTTTTTCTTTTATTGAGTTTATTGGTACATTTTAGGTATACAGTACAGTTACATTCAGTATTGGGATCTTGTACCTTTACATGACAGGTCTTAGTTCTCATTTTTTCCCCTTGTCCCTGCCCTCCCTTCACCCCCTCCTCCCCTCCCCATTTACAAACACTTTATGAGTTTGTGTTTTAAAAGAATGATTTACATGGATGGCCACTGAGGAAAAAGCATTTGCTGTTCTTTGCAGATTCCTGTGTACCCTTGTTTTCCTACTGGGGCATTATTTTTTATTTAAAACATTTTTTTTACCACTGTTGAAAGGCAAAGAAATGTTTTCAACAAAA